TTAATATATATATATAGATATGTATTTTTTAAGCAAATGTACTTTGCATTATTTTTACTTTAATCGAAATACACCTTTCTTAGAGAAGAAGATGAAGAAGAAAAAAACAAATTGTTTGTAATAAATTGTCGTCATTCTACTTGCAAATGTGTATAAAAATCATGAAATTTAATCATTCATTTTCGTTGTTAATTCCTAATAACCCTGCAAATAATTTCAAAATTTCAACATTACGTTCAAGATAATCTTTGTATGATATTAAATAATTCAGGTGTTCTAGGTACTCACTATTCGTTTTTTAAACTATGACTAATAGTTTAAAGTTCAATGTAAAAAAAAAAAATAAAAGATCTTATCGTAGAAAATACGTGCAAATTTTCAATCGTTTGTTATAACATAATCTATAATCCTTTATTAAAAGCAACTCGTTTATAAAAGATGATGATCTCCTCGGTGTTAAATAATCCAGGTGTTCTCTGAACAATCTCTTAGAGTTTATAGTTTATGACTAATAGTTACATTGACAGACGATCAAGCATCGGCTCGCGCTAGTAATTATCGTAGTTCGTTCGCCACCTCGGGCAGCTACTCGATAGACAGTAAGTAAGTATATACATATATATATACATATATATATATATATACAGAGTGTCCTGTAACAACTAAAAATGAACACGAAATAATTCTCTACGTATAAAAAATTCAACAAATAAATCAATTAATGTGATATCAAAATGTTTAAAAAATTTGTTAAGTAAACGAATAGACAAATTTTATATTCGAAACATTACCAGAGTACTTTTCTATCGATTTTATTTTTATTCTTATCAAACGTGTGTCTCTTTTAATTTTCCAAAACAACACAAGCAATTAACTTATAATTATCAAACAAATTTTCATTTCTACAATGTTGATTTTGTTTATCATATAAAATTATTTCCTGTTCGTTTAATAGTTATATCAATTACAGGATCACCCTGTATATCATTAGATTGGTAAACCAAGTATATGAAGTATATACTTCAAAGTTAAGGGAATATTTTATATGAGTTAGAAAGGAGACAAACGTTATGCCCTCCTATGCATGTTATATCGCGTTATCCAAGTATTTAACGATATAATTGTCTGCTTCGTGTCGTGCCAGAGGCATGATCGCGAAAAACGACGAGGAGTAGTATATCGTGAATGTATAGTTAATTAGGTACTCGATCATCGGCCAGTAAACCGAACGATTAACGAGCGAACGCGGCCATTGATGCGAAAGACCAGACTTTACACCACCCCCTCAATCCCCCTTTTTGCATTCGGAATGACTATCGTAAAACTACAAGTATCTACTATTACTATTACATGCATAGATATACTTCTGTTGTGTGTATGTATGTGTGGCTTCGTTAGCCAACTGGATGAGACACGAACTGGTATCTTATTTTCTACATCTTAAAAAAAAAAGAAGAAACCCCAGGTGTAAATATTTTTTACGACAAATATACAGAGGGGAGGGAAACCAACGAAAATTACGTGGACCCTGGATCGATTCGATACCCGGAAATTAGTCGAAACATAATCATATTTGTTTAACTTATTCTTTTCGAGACACGATTTCTAATTTATTGTTCTATTATTATTGCATTTGTATTATAAACTTGTATTTTTATTCACAAAATTTTTACGAACGAATTCTTCACAATTATGCGAATATAATTTATAATACTATATTATCTTTATCCTGAATAAATATATTCCAATTGATTTTTTGTTGTTTTTTTTATCGTTTAACAATGTATCTTCGAATATCGATGATCTATGGATATTTTATTACGATTACATATATTTTTCCAAAATGATTCACGAATCAACCGATCAAATAACGCGAATAATTATGATGGAAAAGTAAACGAAATTCGAGATTAACCGAAGTGAAATATAATATACAAAGATCGGATAGGTAGAGAGAGAGAAAGAAACAAAAAAAAGAAAATCATTCTGGGAAATCTATTTAATTCGATCTATTTACGTGTGTGTTAATAACCAGCAGTACTGGGGCAAATTTCATGCAACTTCTTTTAAAAGTAAAACACACACACACACACACCCGGGATTCAAATGTTTTTTTTTCTAACGTTCGTTTGCTCGTTCGTTTCGATTCCGCAATTAGAGTTACCTATCGGCATGTAAGAAAAAGATAGAAAAATAGATAAAAAGTAAGAAAGAAAGAGAGAGAGAAAGAGAAAGAGAAAAGGAAACGACAGGACAGTCGTGCCGAGACACGTTAGCCCTCGAGCTATCGTTTGCCTTCACCCGTTCTAAAGTCGAAGCAACAGAACTCGAGTTTTATCGGTCGCCGGTCTATCTGCACGCATGACCGAATCGTTTCGTGACTTCCCTCCTTCCTTTCGAGTTAAATAAAATAAACAACAAAACAAAATTATGATCTATTTTACGTAAACCCTGGATATATATATATATATATCTTAATAAAGTAGCTACTGAAAAATATCACATTTGAAAAAATCTAACAATAAGTGAAAGGAAAACTTCTTGTTAACCGTGCCGCTACTAAATTTGTATATATATATATATATCATTCTGTAATCATAATTAATTAATGAATTATTTCTCCAACAATAGATAGAGAGACAAATCTATTCGTCAACAGGTTTCTCATTTAGCGCGTGGGTCGTACACAAGCTGCCCACTTGAAATTGAAAATTTTCGTCATTTACAGGACGTTGATACGAAATAATACAATCGTCAAAGAACAATTCGATTTGAATAAATGTTATATAATATTATTATAAGAAAAAATCAGCCAAATAAAATGATACGATTTTTTGTTGTTGTTGTTTTGTTTTTTATTTTATATCTATATATTATTTTATTAGTCTCACAAAACGAAACTTTAATATCCGTTGTCAGGAGGAAACGTAAACGCATTAAATTGAACATTGGGTTGTATAGTTTCGAGTGGGAGTAATGGCACGGAAAGAGCAAATTGAAAGCAAAGATAGCGCCAGGAGGGAAGCGATATACCGCGAGAAATCTCGTTGGGGAGCGCCAAGAGAGAAAAAGAGAGAGAGAGAAAGAGAGAGAGAGAGCCTATTCGACTAGTTTCTTGCTCGTGAACATCGGATATTTGTGCTGGTGTGTCGACCTAGTGCATCTAAATATAGAGTCCACCTCTATCAACAAAGAAAACCTACACATTTACTTATATATATATATATATATATATATATATATTATTTTATTCATCGAAGAAACCCTCGGAGTATCCCTTGTGCACATAGTCCGCTAGAATAGTTGATTTAAATTCGACTTCTTTGTCGACCTGTAACCAAAATAAACCGCATCTGTTGCTGCTGCTGCTGCTGTTGCTGCTACATTTCGCAAACAAAAAACGTGCAAAACTTACACTTTTCTTCGTTCGTTGACTTTCAATTTAAATATCTAAATTTATGATCTACAGATAAATGCGTATAAGACAGGAAGAGAAGGGTGGGAGTAGATGAAGGGGGATTATATTTCTCTCATGCTTACCATGTCGAATATTTTGGGGTTTTTTTTTTTCACTGTTCCTATATCTTCGTCGAAGGCTACTCTCTAACACTATTGAATAAATCGTGCATGTCTCCGGTAATATTTCGTTTCCTTCCTTATAATAAAAAAAAAACAAAGTTAACTCCTTCTACTCCTACTACTATTCTTCCTCCTCCTCCTCCTCCTTCTCCTCCTCTTCTTTTTTTTCTTCTTTTTTTTCTTCTTCTTCTTCTTCTTCTTCTTCCTCGTAGTAAAGTTGTTGTGTTGTGTGCAGTTGTTTACGCGGAAGATGAATGATATCACCGGTAACACGTAACAGTAGTAAACACAACTCCGATTATAGTATAACGCATGCGCGGTTTAATACGAAATGCGCCTGCGTGAATTCTCACCCGCGTGCACTTATTTTATTGAAAAAAAAAAAGAAAAAACCAAATAGTCGAAAAGGAAAATAATTGAGTTTGCGCATAAACAATTCTTGCAAGATAAGAAAATAAAAATGAAACAAGCAAATAAATAAATTAAATCCGTTCCACGTAAAAACTCATCATACGTGCATCCTTTTCATTAAAGTTCGTGAGAAGGTACGATGGACAAACAACACGCACAACGCACGCACGCACACATACACACATCCACGAACGCACGCACAAACGACAATGCGTGCACGCACAGAAATTGAGAGAGAACGCACGCACACTGCGAAAAGGTAAACGTATATCTCTTCTTGTTGATACAAAACTTTATTCCTTCCCCGCACCCTCCTGAGCGATCCTTTTTTGCGCGCCAAATTTTTTAATCTTCCTAAATGAATTAAATTAACTACATATACAAACTACTATGAATAATTTTTTCCTTAAAAACTTCTTTTTTTTAAGAATCGTAAAAAAGCTTAGAAAGTATCACGTGCGAGATAGCAAAGGAGCAAGAAGAAGCGGCGGATTTTCAACCTGGCGGACACCGACTGAGCTCTCTCGACCGGCAGGTAGCCGAGTTGGCTCCCCCTCCTCCACCACTTCCTCCTCATCCTCCCTCTTTCTTTACTCCCCTCTTCGTCACCATCACCGCCAACAGGCGCACCGTTCTCCGTTCCTTTTTCCTTCGACTTGCCGCCGTCATAGCCGCCGGTTTCTCGCACGATCTTCCTCCCTACTTCTCCCTTCTCTTCCTCTTCCTTCCCCTCGCCACCCTACCAACAACCACTACCACCAACCCGTCATCATTTTCGCGCGTTCACCTTATACTGCACTCAACTTCTCTTATAACACGATATTCTGAAAACACGATACGAAAATTGCGACAGCCCTCATATAACATGGATTTCATATTATAGCTTGAACAATTCTCGTATAACAGGAATGTTTCGTTTAAGACGGTTTAAATACGATTTGAAACAAATTTACCGTGTTATAGGATTGTTGAATGTACTACTCCATACACCAACACTCCTACTGATCTATTTTTCGGCTATTATGTCATTAGCTGATTTTATCCATTCTTTTTTAAATTCTAATTTTTAAAATATCTGAGGAAAATCATCTAGGAATGATTTTTGGTTATTTCTTTTTTCATATTACGCATTGATAAGGACAGCTATTAAACGTCGAGTATTATTAAAATTCTCTTTCCGATTTTCTTAATTGTTTTAAAACTAAATAATAAAATTTCACCTTATTTAGACTTATGCTTAAGGTTCTATAATTAGTGGGACGGTATGACAGCATCCAATAAATCTTCTTCTTCCAACAATTCTTCTGTGACAGAATCCTTTTTAACAGTCTCTTGTGGCAAATATTGATTAAAATCTACACGGAAATATTCCTTCCCCGGTGGACTGATCAAGCACGCTCTAACATAAATGAATTCGTAATTATTAATCAGATTGTTAAGGGATTAATTTAAAAATAATTTTTGTTAAATATCAAAATACCTTAAAATAAATGTAGTCACTTTTTTAGGTTTAACGGAATAAATGTCTTTAACAAGAGCTGCAAAATTTTCTTCCAAATGCTTGCTATCCATATCGAGCTAAAACAAATGAAATTATTTTTGAAAGATTGTTAATTATTAAATTATAATAAATCATGTTAAACTTACCGTTCCAAAAGGACATTCGATTAAACCATATTGTTTTTCTAATTTGTCAGGTACAGCAACATACTTGGTACCGTAAACTAATTTCTTTATTAAACCTTCAAGATCAGAAGTCATGGTACCTGAATGAAAATATAATAAAATCTTATGAGTAATCTAATACTTCTTATGATATTGATAAAAATTAGATACAAACCTCTTTTAGTCGTTGGAAATTTTTTTTTCATTAAACCTCTAATTAATAATAAATCAGGTAAAATATCTGGATGCGCTACACAGTATTGAAATTCATTTAAAGATAAGTCACCTCCCTAAATGATAAAGAATTAGTTTATGAAAAATAAGGAATGTGAATTTAAATGTTAATAATAAATACAATTAATCTTATTACCTTGATTGATTTTATAAGACTTTTTCCACCTGCTATAGTAGCACCTGCCTTCAATACATCTTGTACTAAAGAATCTTTCGCAACGAAAGCTAATATCGTTCTGGTTTCATTGTGTTTGATATTATAAGGATAGTCTACGATACGATCAATAGGTTCTAGAAACTTTCCCTTTTTCTCACTCTAAAATAGAGTCGCATATAATTAAAATCATTAATAAAATAACATCTACTAGTATTGTATCAAATGTTACAATTTTTCATTATTTACCTGTAAACTCACGTCGAATTTGGCAATGATTTTAGAATCAGGACAATTTAACATAGTGGGATGATGCACTTCACGATGACACTGCACTGCTTCTTCGATAGTATAAATTTTAGGTGGATGAGCCTTATATAACCATACATTATCAATTGGGTTTGGTTTATTTATTTCAATGAATCTTTTTCTTTTAATTACTGTAGTCGATTTTCTGTAAATCGTTATGAAAACTTAATACATTGCAGTTACATTTGTGCATTTACATTAACAGTTAAACATATTAGAAAAAAGAAACCTTACCTTTCTTCTTTCAGCAATTTATCAATGAATCCAATTTTTTCGATCTTTTCTATTTTCTTTTTAATTTTCTTAGCATCTCGTCTTGCTCTTGTACCTTTTCTTGCAGCATAATCACGTGTTTGGATAATTAATTGACTAGTAACTCCTACATTATGTTTGGATGTCGTGCAAAGATTATTTAATAATCTTCCTGCATACACAAAAAACACACATATATGAATGAATAATTATAAGAAATATTAACACATATAATTAAACAAATGTAATGGTCTTTTATAATGTTGTTAAAAAGTATCATTATACAATTCACTAATGATCAAATTTTATGTGATAACTTATAACAATGCACAATTTTGCCACTAAGTATTAATATAACCACTAAATATAAATAAACAGCGCAAAGAATAAACACTTATTAATTTATAAATTAATTATTTTAATTAATAAAAGACTAAATGTAAAAATCTTACCTACAAACATAAGCGCCATTTTAAATAACTTAGATCACATATGATAAGAATGATAACGTGCCTAAAGATTTGCTACTATCGAAGCGCCATCTGCTAGCACATTTTGACAATTAAAATCAATGACAAGTCTACCTCGTAGACATTTAATAAAAATCATTGACGAATTATTCAATAGAATGACATTTTTATTTCATCCTTTAAATTAGGTTTCAAATTTAAATGAAGGAACGAATTTTGTTATTCATCTGTAATTCATTAATTCGTTGTCGATAATTAACATTGTTGAAAGTAAATATGTAATATAAAAATGTAAATAATTATAAAAAAGTTAAAAGAAATAATGTTTTGAATAATTAAATAAACGAGAACGAAATAAAAAAGTACAACGATGATATATTCGTTGAAATCAAACAGATTGAGAGTTACACAAATCATTCGAACTAAATACATTTGTTATTGTTTCAATTATATCTTAATATAATATTGAAATTGATATTTAATAAGATTTATATCAAATTTCAAATCAATTTGATATTCGTGTTGTCGAGTAACTATTATGTATAATATTTTAAATAAATGCATTATCGTTCGAAAGAATATTAAATGAAATTTTCTAAGAAGTTGAATAACAATTTAACCGGGGAAATAATATAAATATAAAATCGAGAGAATAGTAGGAAGCTTAATACTAAATTAAGATTCAATAAGCGAATAAAATTAGAATAACTGACCTTAGGAACCGCGCTTATGATACAGCATTATTCGAATAAAGATGGCCACCGGAAGTAGACGTCACCCGTGCCAACTGCCAGCCAACTAGGCTCGATCGAGCTACATATCCAGTGAGAGGAAAAGCATTTTTCACTGTCTCAGAAACATTTTCACCCTTTTTTTCATATATTGGGTACGTCCAATTCGCAAATTTAAATGAATTAGTGTCATAGAATAAAAATGCATTTTTATTTTCAATCTGTCTAATGTTTTCTCGTGAAAATCACAGTGGTGTGTGTAAAAGAATAAAGATCGAGTGTGTGTTATATTGTCAAAGAGACTTTAATTCAACATGCACTTACTCTATATTGTATAGTAAATGTTTTATCATTGTCTCGAGTAATTTGTTGTTAATCAACTTTTTCTTGATCTTTTTTCTCTTCAATTGATAATTATTCGTAGAATAAATCTATGTTATTTTTTTTTATTAACATTTGAGATTTCATCGATCTTTCATCTTTCTTTCTTTCTTTCTTTTTTTCTTCCTTCATTCAAGGTTGCATCATATTCAAAAAATTCTCACATTAAACGTCATACTACGTCGATTATGTACATATAGAATTGAGTCTTGTTATCTTTCTTTGTTGCAGAGTCATTCGTTATTTAAAGTATAGTCAAAGTAATACTAACTCGCACACAAATATGTTTCTGTGGGACTGGTTCGCAGGGGTTTTAAGTTATCTCGGTAAGTGGATTTTAAATGACATTTAAATTATTTTTCTTCATTCAAAGAAATATTTTATACAATTAACTCTTCTTCGTAACTGTATTTTCATTTGTAATCTATGTGTGATAAATATTTTTTTTAGGGCTATGGAAGAAAAGTGGCAAACTTCTGTTTCTTGGTCTGGACAATGCAGGCAAAACTACATTGTTACACATGCTGAAAGATGATCGTCTAGCTCAACATGTACCTACGCTGCATCCAAGTAATTCATTTGATAATTATTAATTCAATTATATTTAAAATTAAATCTTTGTTTTTTAATTAATTTTTATTATGTGTCAGCATCCGAAGAGCTGTCCATTGGCAACATGAGGTTCACTACTTTTGATTTAGGAGGACACACTCAAGGCACGTATTTTTCTACTTCCAAACATGACTATAGTTCTTCTCTTATATAATACTTTTAAAACGGAAGAAATAATCTAAGAAATGATCATTTGTACAGCTCGCAGAGTATGGAAAGACTATTTCCCAGCAGTAGATGCCATAGTATTTCTCGTAGATGCAAGTGATAAATCTAGATTAGCAGAATCAAAAGCTGAACTTGATGCACTCTTAACTGATGAACAACTCAGCGCTTGTCCGGTTCTTGTATTGGGTAACAAAATTGATAGGCTGGATGCTGCATCGGAAGATGAACTTAGAAATTTCTTTAATCTTTATGGTCAGACTACTGGCAAGGTATTATAAACGTAATTCTAACATATGTTTATTTAACCCCTTGTGCTATGATTTAATACATTGAGTTGCATACCATTCACAAATATTCGCAAGTAAAATTCATGCTCCTTATATTTTGCCCATAAGATTTGCTAAAAGTCTCACACGTTGTTATAGCATAGAGGTTAACTTGGTTGCGACGAATATTTATTTACAATAATTAAATGTTAATGTTTCAGGGTAAGATCCCACGTAGTGAAATACCCGGACGTCCATTGGAACTATTTATGTGCTCTGTGTTAAAAAAGCAAGGTTACGGCGAGGGCTTCCGTTGGCTCGCTGAGTACATTGACTGAATGCACATAATAATCGAAACATTCTGATTCCTAGCAGTTTAACTCATTTCCCTTTCCTCTGTTTAATTGTGGATAAAGATATTCATAATAGCGATAGGTACATTATCCTTAAACATACTAAACAGTGGGAAAGGAATATGTTTAATGCTACAAACTGCAGTAACAGATCCAAGACAGTGCACATAAGAAAGAAAAGACAAATTATTCTTGGAAAACTTAATGTAACGAGCAACCGTGATAGGACTGATTTCTTTGATATAATAATATCGTATGGGTGACGTACATGTTCTTTAATTTACGTCTTGGCAAGAGATGTATTTAGTTCCATACAAATTTCTTTAATTATTCATTATCTAATTAATATATTATTAGATCCATGAACATGCTGAATATCAATCTGAACATTTTGATAAATAAAAATAATCAATATTCTAATTGCGAAGTCTTCTGGAAAATTTCTTTGTTTATTCTATTGTGATGACGTTGTGGTATTTAAATTAAATTTTTTGTTGAAATTATTTTCTTTATATAATTATATATATATATAAATATTGAGGTATAATTTATAGTATTTAAATCGGGCAGCTTGTTTTCTTTTTTTATTATCTCTTCATATTAATCTTGTGCTTCTTTCATTATTGTTACTTGATTTTTTATTAATTCGGTAACAGACATCTCCCAACCCACACCCTTTTAGTCTTAGTCTTAGTTTCATATTTTACACAAAATATACGCGTTTGAGGCAAAATTATTTAAAAAGAAAAATGCAGAAAACGTGCTGTTAATTTTAAACTTAATGTAAAAACACAGGATTATTATTTTTCTTATCATTGTACACGTTACATAACGTTGATTCTTTTTGGTCGCTATTCAAAAGTGATTTATCATTTATTTGAAATCTCGTCGAAATAAAAAGAAACAATATTTAGACGTTTGAACGTTCGATTGTTAATTTGTAACTTATTTTTGTATGTGCAAGTAATGGGGGGAAAAAAGAAAACAACTACCGCAAAAAAATAAAAACGCGATTTCATTTTAAAATCAAAAATCGGATTTATCCGATACCTCATAACAAATCTTTTCAAGTTCTATAAATCAAGGTTTCTCAAATTTTGTTGCTTGACGACACCCACTTTCCCCGAGAAAATATTTTCCCAATCCCGGGTGTAGAGGTGTATAAAACTAGGAATACGAATTAAAACATTTGCCGATAATAAAATCATAAATAACAACTTATTAGAAAACAATTTTTTGGATATACGTAGAAATATAATTTTACCACGTATTAAAAGACAACCAAATATACCAACTTTTTTAATTTTACTAAAATTTCTACGACCCCGTACGGGATCGCGAGTCACGCTTTGAGAAGCACTGCTATAAATCAAACATTCATAAGAATATTACGAGAAAAGATTTTTTATGTATTGGTACTGTGTAGTTATAAGTACTTATAATATTTTCGTCTTCATTTTACACTAATAAAACATATTGTTTATAACGTACAGTTTAAATCTGTGTATGAACCTTCATCGTTTAATTATTTAATCTTCTCTTCTGTATATCTCTTTGTTTCTAATTAATTCTATTCCATCGAATCCTTTTATTTACGAAAAAAAAAAAGAAATCTTGTTTCTTTTTCCTATTTTGTATAAAATATATCTTCAAAGTTGTATGAAGTTATAATCGTCAATAATTTTATATCTATCTTCTCGGTAATGCACTAAATCTTCCAAAAACCGCTTACTACTTTCATTATGCAACTTCGTCAACACCGGTGGTAGCGGAATTATACCAGCTGTATTTGCCAAATCATCGTAATATTGACCTTGATCAACTCCCATCTGATGAAAATGTTTTTTATTCAATCCATTTTTAATACGCTTTTCCAATTCTTTCGACTCTTCTTCCAACATTTTAGTCTTCTCTGGAAATGTTCTCTCTCCGTGCCAAAAACGTTGAAGAAATCGTACCTTTTTTTATATTTAATACAAATTAAACCCAACAACAATATATATTTTTAATTGTGCAAAGTGAATTATTCAAGAACGAAGAAGAAAATATATTTTTAATCTTTCATTGTGAATTATGCTTATGTAATTAATAATAATGACATAGTACATACCTGCAAATCAAACATACTAAATGCACAAACATAAAATGGTAATCCCACAATAGCAAGAGTAGGATTTTCAATAGAAACAAGATGTTTCCAAAGTGGAGTTACCATATTGGAATCAACCCGAATTCCACATTTTTCCGAAAGAAATGGAAAACTGTATTTGTATCCTATATAAAAATGAATTTAAAGATGATACAAATTAATGATTTATTTAATTAATTTTAAACATTAGTTACCTGTACAATAGAATATAACGTCGATTATTTCCTTACTGCCATCTTTAAAAACTGCATCGTGTTCAGTCAATTCTACGATGTCCGTTTTCTAACGTTAACAAAAGGACAATAAGAAAATTAGAAAATATTTAACTGTAGAGCACAATGTGTATAGGTATATCAATTTTAGAAAATTATTTAAACAATTAATTAAAAAGTACCTGGACCACGTTATCGGGAAATTTAGTCAATATCGTATCTTTTGAATGATGACTTAAAATTACGCGTTTCGCTTTTGTAGATATTTCAAGTGCTAAATCCATACCTTTAAAAAAGAAAAAGTATATCTGATTAAACTAAATCAAAATTAATTATTAAATTGTAACATTGTATTTTTGTTATAATTTTGTAAAAAAGAAAAAAAAAAAGTATTTAGAAATTAAATATTAATTTACCAGAAGGACCAGCACCAATGACAACGACAGTTTTATCATTAAAAATGGTCGGTACTCTGTAATCGTGACTGTGCAGTTGATTTCCTTGAAAAATATCTTTTCCTTTTAAATTCGGTATAAAAGGTTCGAAGTAATGACCATTACAAACCATAATTGCATCGAATGTTTTACTTTCAACAATATTATTCTTTAAATCTTTGATCTTGACCGACCATTTGTGATCACCCGAGATCGGTTCTACATTGATGACGTTATAAAGAAACTAAAAAAATAATTCAATAATTTGTTATTTTGTTTAAATTTGTAACGAAATATTTTTCTCAATGATTTCACTTACGCGAATGTATCGTCGCAGTTTAAAATAATCGCAATAAGAATTAAGAAAATTAAGTATTTCACTGCGCGTTAAATAACTTTCTGTTCGATCTGGTATCGGAAAATCAGGAAACCCCATTACTTCTTTCGGCAAATTCGTCCTAAATTTGAATATTTTAATCACATTGGTTTGTAAGATAACTGTACTTTATTTTACAGCAAATAAATAATTTAAATTATCGATAATAATGTGAAATATATTGCTTTTTTTTTACAGAAAATAATCGTATTAACGATTGAAAGCAAATATGTGTCCAATGAACTTTTTTTTTAAATATCTGTTATTAAAAACTATGCATTAATATTTTTGACAATATGTAAAAGTTTTTAAAAAAGAATCAGATGTTTCATATATAAGGTACAATTATCCTATAAATTAATATTACAAATTTTTCACGACAATATTCTTTTTTTCGATGACATCAAATATTTACCTCAAACTTTTATACATGCTGGTATGAATCGGTAAATTGTACCGACCCAAACCGGTTTCTTCTCTGTAAACCCAAGTACCACCGATTTCTTCGGTTTTCTCGTAGCAAACAACTTCATCTTTGTAATTACTAGAAGTGAAATGTCGTAGAGCAACTAAACCAGCCGATCCTGCACCGATTATCGCAAATTTCATCTTTGGAATGAATAAATCTGTTTACAAATTTTAAATTATAATGCTGCAATATTTGAACGATTGCAAATAAAGTACACCTATCTCTCCTCCGATTTACACGGAAAATCGGTTTCTCAGAATAACGTGTAAATCAAAATCGTTGTTTTTTATTCTATGTAAAATCGTGTAAATCAAAAATAAACCAAAATGTACATAATTCAATCATATTTCATGGAATTTATTTAAAAGTTTTCTATATAATTAATCTTACAATACTATACTTCCACTTAATTATCCATATAATTAATTACTTTTCCATACATTTTCGATAATAATTTTCGTGTTTATATATACAAATAAAGATAATTTTCTTGTTTAAATTTAATACCAATATTATCAATCGAATGGAATAAAGTACAGTGAAAATCAGAGGATAGGTGTATATTGCACTTATGAACGCGATATCGTTTTACATATTTATTTTACATTATTTATAAATTAATATTAAATATGAAATAAAATTAAATTTGCCAAATGAACAAAATATACATCTATAATAAATATAACTCGATTTGCAAGACAGACTGTTCGACACAAAGAACTATTTAAAGAAATGTGAAAGGTAGATAGCATAGATACTTGCAAATGAAAGGCAAATATTTACCTTTTTTTCTTAACTTTTCTGCACTAATAAAATAGAACACCGAATAACAAAGAATGCATGCGTGCATGCATATAAATCTTTATGTTAACACTATATAAATATATTATTACTTATAATATAATAAAAAAGAATTTATTTTAAATACAAATTTTGATATTCGTGAAACACTTGACGCGCGTATCGAAAGTCTAAAACTGAATAAGCTAACGATGGAAGAAACATTCTCTATCCAAACTCATCGTACAGAAAGTGGAAGTATATCGTAAAAAAAAACTGATATTGATAACGAGGTCGACATGTTTACCATAAAAGAGAGAAACGTTGATGATTTTTGATATAAGAATCGGTAGTAATCTCAATTCTGACCTTCGATCTTCCATAAGTGTTTAATTTTCTTTTTCAGAATCTTTTTCAGAATCTTTTTCAGTTTCTTCATTTAAATCGTAAATTTATTTATTAATTTATTCGTTCTTCTATATCGATTTTAAAAACTGCATAAATTATTATAATTTTGTATTACAAAATTAACGTAAGACTAGAAAAATTGGAAACAGAGCATTATAAGGTAATTAATTTGATCTATAAATAATAATATTAATAATATGCATATATAGTTTGTATAAATATATATAATCGCGTTATCAATATAATAATTATATATAATTTAAAAAGTGAATATTTTATTAATACTTTCTAAAAACAATTACATTCAGCTAATTTCGTATTATTTCATTTACAAATAATCTATTAATTTCAAACAGTAAAATATATAGCACTTCCCTGTGACATTATTTATAAATGGAAATAGGTTTTTACGATGAAAGAAAATACTTAGAACCATATATGATGTCGCATATTTTGAATATTTTTATAAATTTGTAATTATGCTTTTATAAACAAGATGTACATTTAGAATGATGTATAGGACTAAAACAATACAATCAGATCGAGAACAATGATGATTAGTTTTGTTTTCCGATAACATAATAAATATATATATATATATATATATATATATATTGTTTTATCTTTTATATTTTACATTTCTAATTCCTATTTGTTTCTATATAGGATATGAATTTGCAGCACAATTACTACTTCGTATTATTTTATTCACAAATAATCTATCACATTTAGACAGTAAAATAGTACTTCACTGTGATATTATTTGTAAATAAAAATAGTTTGTTACAATAAAAGAAAATATATAGAAGCATATGTGATATAGCATGTTTTGGTCGTAATTTGTTTGATTAAATTTTCATATCCTTATTAATCTGCAATTACGTTTCGATAAAAAAGAAAATGCACATTCTGAATTATGCATATATTTTGAAGAAATGCAGTTAAAGCTGGGGTAATGATGATTGTTTTTCTTTTTTCGATAACGTAATAAATATATACATATGTATCTCTTATTTTACCTTTTAGAGTAAATATCGGATTCCCATCTGTTTTTATATAGCATATACAATTGCATAGCTACTCTTGCATCTTCTACAGAATCGTGTTCGCCTATTTGTATTTCTAATCCTAAAAATTCCAATGCTAATCTCTTTAAACTAGGAGTTTTTGATTTAATGATGTCTTTAAAAAGTTTATATCTTGATGTATCCCTTAAGCTTCTATAAGGATGCGATAAGAATAATACTGCTAAATCATGTTTTAAAGCGTGACCAACTAAAATTCTTCCTTTTAATATCTCTGCTACTTCCTTTTGTACGGTAGCAAAATCTTCACCACTTTTTAAATGATGCGGATGAATACCACTGACCGCTGTTCTATAGTCCTTGATTTTCTCTCTTGGCTTAACGTATTTATCATAAAGACAATGACCAAATTTATTGACAATGGATACCCTAGCAATCATACTTTCTCTTCCATCGCCAATCCCAACCATTTCGCAATCCATTGCAATGAATTTTGTTATTTTCTTCTTATTCTCCTCCATGTTAGGATCACATTTGACAATGTTATTCATCGCATTACCCTATGGAAACAAATGTCTTATTAATTGTTCACGATAATGGTTTAAGAATAGTAACCTTACACAAATTAATAAAAAAGACAGAAATACCTGATTGGATTTTCTACATTTTTGAAATTTTTTAGAAAATTCTGTAGTTGAATTATTATTCTTCTTTTTATCACGATTTGATTCTTCTTCATGGATAATATCTTTATATGTCTCCCAATTAGAACCGGACGCTGAACGTTTAGTCTTTGGTTTAGTAGAGGTTCCTATATTTTCTTGTTTCCGTTCCATAAATTTGTTTTTTTTGTATAACATATTCTGATCATTCATACTTTGATTTAGTTTTCCTAACCTATAAGGTAACATGTGTATAAAAACATATAAAAATAAACCAACTAGTGTAACAAACGCGATACTAATTTAAAAATTGATTAAATTAAATTAAATAAATACATATTTTTTGTGTTTATATTCTTATTTATAAGGAAAAAAATAAAAGATATATAAATGAACTTTTATCACATAAACAAACATTAAATTGGTTATTCACTTGTTCATGAAATGAACATACGTATATAATACATAGAAAAAAGATAAAAAGAGAAATATATTAAAAAATACTAGAACAATATTTACGTTGGCATAATGTGATTGATCAAGTCGCAATTATTGATTAAAATTTTTCAATTTATCAGAATATAGAATAAAACTTTAAGATGTGACACCCACTTATATTTCACTAAAAACGAAGAAAAATCACCTTGAAACAGTTTTTTATTAACGCGTTAATTATAACCAACATTTATTAATTATTTTAGATCGGGAGGTGATATTTTTTCACTTATATAAAATTTTACATACCTTTCTGACAACGAGTAAATAAATACAAGAAAGATTGCAATGAGAATAAAAATAACCATGACGTGAAGTCAACACTGCACGTCTTCTTCTGCATAATAGGAATATAGTTTATTTAGAACATGCATATATCGCTTTATGCAAGATAAAAAAACCCTAGACAAAAGTCACTCAACTGGTAACTTTTCAATTTGTTTTATAACTCATATAGTAATACAATTGAGCACGAGTCGTATAAAAGAGTATCTAGTAAAAAGGGTTATAATAAAATGCAATTTCATAAAAAGAATTGATTATCTACAAGTAAACATAACTTATAATGCAATTCTTAGTACTAAAGATTTTAATTTATATTCTAATCTGATCTTCAAAGAACAATCAGCACTGCTTCTTTGCACTATTTACATTAAATTGCATTACTATTGTTAAGTATTGTGCATATACGTTTCAATTTGAAGTATTATCTGTAATGTTAGTATATGAAAATATATGTGAACATATCTTTTTATACATTTGTAAGCTTCATAAGCTTTTTACATATCTTTTTAATCTTATAAAGTATATAATAATTATACAATGCTAGAATATACATAAAACACAGGACAAGTATTTAATACATTTTATATACTTCAATCCCACGCTTCTGAAGTTTTTAATCCACTTAATCGTTCTTCAATGGTTATAGTTTTTGAAAACTTTTTGTTCCTTTCCTCTCCATAAATAACACCAATAGGTAGCTTTTCGACATGTTTCATGTGCCCATAAGATTGTTCAATAGTTAGATAGGGATGTCTTAAAATCAACATATTTCTTTCTTCCCTTTCAAAATCATGCCTTAACTTTAATAAATCTTCAAATGTGGGTTTCTTTACTTTACGATATTTCCTGTATTATTAAGAGAAACAAATTAATATGAATTAATTATAATTTCATATCTTTCATCATAGGTTTCAATTTAAATTGTACATTATATTTATAAATAATTGATAAATAAAACACTGATATTCACTCACCCTCTGAATCGATAAGGTATTTCTTTAAATAAAAATGCAGTAAGTCTCATGATTACAGTATCAACAAACCTAGCGCTTGACAAAGTATAATAAAAGTTTTTCTTCCCAAATATAAGGTTAGGTATTCATCTGATCTAGTGAGAATTAAAGTTACTAAATTATTTTTACGAATCTAGATGACGTTATTTGACTGTTCTTATTAACAAACTGTGAATACCATTCTATGTACGTTTTATTAGTTTTCCGTTACTACACTCACCTGTTCTTCTGATATATTGTTGACATATTAAAAAACAGACGTGTAAAAGTATACTTGTATTTAAATTAAAAATGGTCCCTTGACAATTCAAAGAAATAATTTTGAATTACAATTTAAAGAATAAAGAATGAAAATGACCACAATAAATTATTTAGATTTAAACATTAATAAACTTTTCGAGCAACATACAATCAAAGAAATAGAGGAAATTCAAAAGAAAATTCAATTAGAAAGTGACCGTAAAAAGATTGAATTACGTACTCTAGTTGGGTAAGTTTATTTCATCAATAATTATTTATTTGTTAACAATACTTATTATTTATTATTATTTTGATTTTATTTATAAAAATTTTCTTTTTTTTTTTATAGAGAAAGATATCGTGACTTGATATTAGCTGCGGACACCATTGGAAAAATGAAATTTACAGCAGAAAGAATAAGCTTAAGAATAGCGCATACAGAGGAGAAATTTCGAGAGCTTCAAGAAAAGTATCTTATCGGTTTTAAAACAGACTCCATCGAGAATCAACCTACCAAGTATAAATTAATATTAGTTAACATATACTATATGCATATAGAATTTAATTGCAGATTTTAACTTCTTTCTATATAACGTATTGCAGGAAATCTGAAGATATGGCTGTGGTAATCATTCAAATAAAAATATTAATGGACATTCCAGAATTTATTTGGTCTAATATAGAAAGTCATAACTTATTGTATGCCACACAATTATTTATCTTAGCGCAACACATAAAGTATAGATTAAAATTTGAAATAGGCAATGAAGAGTTAGCTGTAAAATATCCAATAGTATTTAAGCAATGGGATATTATAGGTCAATTTAAAAATATTATATTAAGAGAATGCGATATGATATTGCGATCATGGAATGTATCAACCGAGGTAAATAATAATAATATTCTATTTATATAGATAACTATTTCATATTAAGGATGAATTGGTATTTTTGTATTTCAGAGCGCAGCGAATTGTTTAGCATCGCTCATACTACTTAACAAAACTTCGTATAAGAATTTATTAGAAAAATTAATATTCACAAGATGTCGTGCTGTCGAATCTATAATCAAGGATGAAAATGATTACAATGTTAAAACAAAGATAAAACTTTGTATAGAAATGCTAATTCATACTATTACATTAATTTATGCGTGCTTTATAAGTAAGTATATATATACAAGGTGTCCTGTATCAGTGTTACATTTTTCTCAAAAGCAAAACTTTATATGAACAAATTTTTTTTTATTCTACATTTTTGACATTTCATGTAGAATCCTTTCATTTTTTCATGCTCACTTATACCACCAGTTATAAGACACCCTGTATTTATTTTTCTTTGCTACTATTCTTATTTGTTTAATAAGAATTTCTTTATTTCAGCTGCCGGAAGTAAACATGAAGGATTGGTTTCACAGTATATTGCTGCAATAAAAGACGAGAAAGTATATTCGTTACTCTTAAAGATCGACACCAATAAAGATTTGATAGAGAAATATTTATCTTCCGTTATAACGAACGAGAAACCATTTTCACAAGAAGGAGACGATCAATTTTCTATAACAGATTTACAAGAATGCATTAAAACGTGGTTGAATTGGCTCAATGAATTTTGTAATACAGAAGTTAACAAATTATTTCAATTAATAGTTTCTGTAAAAGGTTTGTACAGTATACGAGAAGAGGCAGTCGGTATTAATTTACCAGAAAATTGGAAAATCATATGGGAGGATTTTGGTTTACCAAATATAAGTTATTGGTTGGAATATTTCCAACCACTTTTAAGTAAAAGAGCGAAGAGTATGTATTGTTTAAGATTTAAATTTTATACGTCGATTATTTTATTTTGTATACATTTATTTCTGTTTGTTTTCAGGTATAATACACGATAAATGGATGGAGGGTATACAAAATTTGAAATCTAATATATCGAATATGTTAAACAAAGTGACTCGAGAAAGATGCGAATTTCCTGAACACGATCTACGATGGTTCGTTTGGAAAGATTCTCCAAACGACATACCACAGAAATTAACGCACAATACTGGATTAGATGGCAAACGATCATTGTTGATGAAAACTAAAGGATATTCTCCTAATGTGGTACAACTTTGCGAAGAGTTTGACAATAGTTTGTACGAATTACTTTCGGATTTAGAACATTACTTATACAACACCGTATGCAATTTAAATATCAGAGATAATTTATTATCTAAAAATATATCCGTGATACCCAATACCTTTTCTGATCGAACTGAGATTCAAGAACATTTGCAATCGGTTAGTACCACTATGATAGAAGATTTTATAAAATATATTAAAAATACTTACATCAACAACAACGTTAATCATAATCATCAAGAAATAAATACGATAGTACTAGCAAGACTTCTTATGGCATTCACTTCGTTATCGCCGAACTTAAACAAATGTTTTAATTTGTCCAAAGCGACTGGATTGTCTATAATCAATACCAAATGGCAAATTATAGTTGATACTCTTAAAGAGGAAAGTATTGCCATATGGTCTGTTTGGGCTAATACTTATAGAAATAAATTATCCGATCACAAAGAGAAATATATGTCGAAAGAATTATTTGACGGATTTAAAATCAAGTCTGTTCTATCTGACTGGGAAAAAGTTATAATCGAAGAAGAATCTGGAGAGGGTAAAACGTTGAAGACCGAAATATTAGTGCCACATCAACCTTCGATAATGCTACAGAAATTTTTAATGGCCGTTATTAAGGATTTAAATAAAATTATACCGCACACTATTCCTAAGTAATTATTAGAAATATACATTTAAAACAAAATGATATTGATATATGTATTATTGATTGTATATACATTTACAGAAAAGTACTTCATGAGATCATTGAAGCAGTAGCATCAGAGTTGTTCGATTACTATCAAGCTACATCAAACATTGTAAATCTTAAACAGAAACAAGCATTACAAATAGTATTCGATATTAAATATTGTACTTTACTTATGGTACAAAGAGAAAACAAACACTTAAATGAAATGTCATCGAAAGCAATAGACAGTGCACTTTCTAAGATAGATCCATTTGATTACAATGTTATCAATCCATTCATTCATACAAACGTGAAGAAAAGTGTTCTGAGATCTTTGGTAATTATTAGAACATTTAAAAAACTAATATAAATAAAAATAATTGTATTAAATAATGTTTTTTTTTCATCTTGCAGCTTTTGCTTGGAAATTTAATACCGCATTTGGAACAACTTCATTCAGTTCTCGGAGCACGCAGCGAATACAATGCTGGAGAAGGAAATAAATTAGATTCTCCTGCATTGCTTGCATTGTGTACAGGTGCACCGTGGTTCCCTCCTCTTACCATAACAGTTCCTATGAGAAATTTATCTCTTGTAATAACAACAATACAAGATAAAACTCAGGTAAAAAAAATTATTTATAATTTTATGTTTATTATTTATTAAAATTTATTATGCTTATATTTTATTATTATATATCTTATTTTGTATATATCTATGTATATCTTCAGATCAACCATTGATTTAAGTACGTCTTTTTACAAATATGGTAAGAGAGACGTTATGCATGGTGTGATCATATTGTTTTTCTATAACTATTTTTATTATTAATACAACCTTAACAAATTTGCATTGATATACATAAATACACATATGTTTATTTTAATAATCAAATATATTTTATATTAGCGTAAAAAAATATCATCAGCGAAGGATAACACAAAATCCGAATCGACTGGATCTACTATAAAATCTGGAGCAGCAGCATTTTTTGGAGCAATGGGTTCAGATTGGTTCAGTGCTAGTTAAATAATAAATATAAATTTTATTTATTTATAAATATATACATATTATTATATAATATAATAAATAAAAGAAAATATATAAATCCTTTTGTAAAAGAAGATGAATTTTGTGATACAAAAGATAGATAAAGGTATAAACATATATATATATTAAATAAATATTATTATTATAATTATCATCACCTGTATTAATATTATTAATCGATTTTATACTCCATATATTTTGTTGTTTTGTAAATAATAATGAATTGAATGTTTAACAAATTCGCGCTCAGGATAATTTAAAAAAAATTCGCTAGATGACGCCAGTATACCTGATAAGTAGCAGGCACGTGAAGATGTCAATCTAGTTGTTGATGATAGCAGTTAACAGAGGTTAAATGAAGATGGTCGAATGGGTCCATCCGTGGTTATATCGGTTGTAAGACGCGCTTGTTCTCGTTCAAAGGAAAATCAACAAGGCGAATCCGTCCAGCTCGAAGAATATCAACACGAAAACAAAAATAATCGGAATTATCAAATGGTGAGTTTATAATTATTCAATCCTTTTTTGTATTTATTTATTTATTTATTTTTTCCAACGTCAATACTGTGTTCGTCTCTGTTCGGCATTTAACTGCGTTAAACGCTAGGATTTCGGCAAACGCGGTGTTTTTGAAAACAAACTAAAGATCCACGACGAAGATAAAGAATTAAACAACAATGAGTTGATCTTTATAGAATTATTTAGAGATATATTTCATATTATCTATCCACGTGCATCTTTGTAATTGCTATCTAATCTATCAACGTTGCACTCGAGCTTTATTTCGAAATTCGCGCCTCTCGTTCGATTCTTATGCACTCGAATGCGTCTTTAACTCGTACGCATATGCGTTTCTCTCCCTATTTATCTGTCTTTAAGCATTATACATATAATATTTGTGAAAATATATAAATACTTACATAGATTAAACTTCACGTTTGAAGATTAGATTAATGGAACATCTCTTCGTAAGGAAAAAATTATTACTGATAACATAGGTATAATGAACGTTGTGTTGTCGGGTAATAATAAAATAACAAAATATATCATTTTGTTTTTACGAGCGAACGCGAAAATACAATAATAAAAAGTAAAATCGTTATAAAATTCGTCAGATATATATATAAATATAAAATTAGTATAAAAATAGCTAGTGTTTTTTTATTGTTTTTAATATTGTTTTTTTTTTTGGACGAATACCAATGTTATACATACATTTACTTATACTGCATTATCAAACAAGTATTATCAATTCAAAGTATCGAACTGAAACTAGCGTCATCTTTTTCTTATCTTTTCTTTTTTACTGAACGAAAAACGAAACGACGATGTTACAGATAATCTATGTTAAAAAGACGTTTTTATCTAATCGGATCAAAAATTCGATTGATCAAATTTACCCGAAGAGTTTATAATAAAACATATTAATCATATGTAAGTAACACATGCTTGTGTAGAAATTGTAATATAAATAATATCAATTTCGAATTAATCCGAGAGCAAGGAAAATTTTAACAGATTGGAAAATAGGAATTTTTGTTTGTTTAAAAATAAAGCTTCATTATCAAATTAAACACATTAGATTGTTAGGTTTAAATAAATACGTGGAATTTTGTTTCCTTTTCCTTTTGAAAACAAAACTTTGTACTTACGTCAAACGGGCTGGGGGTGGGGTGGGGTGGTGGTGGCTCGGTGCGATCGAAAAAAGGGATTATTCACATTAAATTCGTAAAAAGATTAATATTATTAATATTTAAATGAAGTTAAATATGTGTGTTACTATTAATAAGAATGTGATTAATATGAAATAACAGATGTCGTGGACGAGAATGAAAAACATAATAAAATATTTAATCCAACATTAATCCGATCAATAAATTCATTTTTAGAATACGTCAACGATCTATACTTGCGCAATCGAATGAAATTCTTTTTCATTTTAATATATTTTATTTTATTCTTTTTTTTTTTTTCTTTTTTTTTTCATTTGCTGCTGTGCTGCCGTCTCTTGTTTCTTGTAATTAGCAAGGAATCATTTAATAGCACTGAAAGAGTTCAAAAGATCATGAAATTTTTGTCTTTAGGCACGCGCTTTGAATTAAGAAATTTATGTATTTAATAATCATAATATTTATTCAACCAGAAGATCACATACATACATACGTATACACACTTAAATAAACATATTTTTCTAACTTGTGTCTTCTTTTATCACAATATTCGGGGAATTATCATCTCTTTTTTCTCTCTTTTTTTGTTTTTTTTTTTTTTCTATTCTCTCGCAATAATTATTTGATATACCGTATATTAAATGATGTAATATTAGCGTCAGAGAATCACACGTAATTATTAACATATATTTCATATTTAATGGATAACACTAGAAAGGGATAAAAGATACGTCGAATTTATTTTTTATTTTTTTTAATGTATTTATCACACACATTCATCTCCAGATTGGCGCCAAACGTTGATATCATACGAAATACGAAATATGTTTGTAGGTTTTTTTTTTTTCTTCAACTTATTTTCTCTTTTTTTCCTATAATAATTATACTCTTATCGTTTAATTATCAACATAAAGAGAGAGAGAGAGAGAGGGAAAGAGAGAATAATTAAAAGTGATCGTTTAATGGTATGTTAAGATTACATTTTTTTATGAACCATATAGGGTCACAGACTTACATTTTTTAAAATATAAATCGATATCGAGGATCTATATATGTTTTTATTTATTTTTTCTTATTTTTTTTTCTTTTCTTTTTTTTTTTTTTTTTTTTTTTTTTTTTTTTTTTTTTTTTTTTTTTTTTAATACAAATAGGTACATGATTTGAGAATTTTACAGATACAAGTATTCGGGTTGTTTTGATAACAAATTGCATAAGAAAAGAATAAAGTAATTACCAAACAATAAATTGTATTACTATTTAACATGATTTACGCGAAATGTTGACAAACTATTTTCATGCCGAGTTTTCTATCTAAACTTCATTTTCTTTTTTATTTAAATAATTACTATTATTAGAATATCATAGATTGCGTCTTATTTGTCTGTCAATCTTCTCTTAGTTTATTTCAAAACGATTTAATATGATTTAATTCGCGAGATGGTCCCATATAAAATGTTAGAAAATATTTTCATTTCAATTTTCTTTTTTCTTTGTTTTTTGCATCAATACATTTAAATAATATTCTCACAAATATAAAGATTTATTTCTGTACTTTAAACAATCTTATCTATTATTAAAGTGTCTCTCTCTATCTCTCTCTCTCTCTCTCTAAATGATTAATTTAATAAATGATCCCCAGAGAGATAAAATGTATAATATTATATTGCTAACTATTTTCATCGAGAATTTTTTTGGTCTAATCTCTAATAAAAACATGACACACATATATAAAATACAATTTCTATGGATTTTAATCTTATTATTTCCAATTATTATTAAAATCTCATCCGTAAAACGATTTATTTCTCTATTTTAACTCGACCCATTCTCTTAATCTATTTTAGAACTATCTTTAAATGATTAATTCGAGACAGTCAATGTATAACGTAACAACCTAAGATCATTGGTTGTTTTATTATTTGAAAAAAAGAAGAAAAAAAAAAAAAGAAACTATATGGCGCTCTTGATAAATATTGACGATAATCATCCTTTTTATCTCTTTAGCCTTTCATCTTTTTCACTAAACGCATAGAAAATTATATATTTATTTATCTGTCTGTATATGTATGTGCGATAGAAAAAAAAGAAACAGAGAGAGAGAGAGAGAGAGAGAGAGAGAAAGATAAAGATAAAGATAGGGAAATGGTCCACGCAATGAACACTTAGGATGCTGCGTGTTCTCTCTTTCCCTCTCTCTTTCTCTCTTGTCAGATATAAATTGGTCGCGTCGTGCGTGCGACAAGATATTAAACTGTCTCTTTATATATATATATATATATGTATATATATATATGTATATATTTATATATATTTTATTTTTCTCTCTTTTACGTATTTTTATTTTTTATTTGTATTTTTTTGACTCTCATTTAAAGAGACGATAACGAATGGGCCGATAACGTCCAGCGAACTCGGACTAATATATTCTGCGATTTTGTACTTGAGTGAACACACGGTCTTCCTCGTTCTAACGTGACTATTTCATATTTTATTACGTTTGTCTGTCCTTTTTCTTATTATTTAAATTAACAACCTTCGAGACGAATAGAAAGAAAAAAAAAAAGAAACATATTTTCTGAAAGACATCAAAAGTGTTATCGTTCGAATGTATTTTTTTTTTTATAATAATACATAAATCCAACAATTAATTACTATCATTTACGATTAAAACGAAACAATCCAAATAATAATCGTGTGGTTTTATATGAGATGACGTTTGATTTTATCATCGATAGATCGTATCGAAATAATCGATTGCGTGACCGAAATCGAAGTTACGTATTTTAAAATTAACAATCGTTCAGAGATTTTTGTCAAAGACAAGAAAACAAAAGTAAAAAGAACAAGAGAGAGAGAGAGAGAGAGAAAGATGTTGGATCGAAATGTTGTGTTAGTGTTACGTACGAGACAAGAGAGAACGGAAAGACGATTGAAACATAAAAAGGAAGCGAATCCACCCCCCATGGAACCACCCCCGCAATTGTTAAACAATAATCATCTTTACCTCGATTTTAACATGAAACTTGGTTCTGGTAATAGATTGCATCAGGATAATATCAAGAATATGAAAAAGGTAAATACGAAAATTGTTTTAAGACCCTTATTCACCCCTTCCCTCATATAAGAGGGTAGATTGAAAAGTTTTGAACCTTTTATTTTTTTCTTAAATAAAAGTAAATTTGAATTGAAAACAATTGTTCCCGCGTTCGGCTAGAAATTTATTCAATTGCAAATCTTATTTGTAAAATATTGCCAACATTATTCTTTAACTACAAAATATATGACGATAGTAATTTTCTAATAAACAAATATAGAAATGAATTTATTAAATAAAAAGAAAAAAAGAGAGACAAATAAAACTGACAACCATAAAAGATAGGAGAGTTGTTGCAACATTTTATTATAATTACAATTATGTGCGTGCAATGTAA